CAAATATAAAGTGCCTAATTGTGTGCTTTGATGGTGTAAAAGGATCACAAGATCATAGAATTTAGAGTGGAAAAGGGAGGAGGGGAACAAATATTTATTGAGTCAGAGTGCCAGAGTTTTATAAATATTATCCTCACAACAACCTTGAAAAGTGGATGCTATCATTACCCTCATTTTATAGTTGAGGAAACTGAGGCAGGCAGAGTTAAGCGACTTTCAGTTAGTAGGTGTCTGAGACCAGATTTGAACTCAGTTCTTCCTGACTCCAGACCCAATGTTCTATCTACTGAGCCATTTAGCTGGAAGGGACCAAGAAGAACGAGCCTAAAATGTGCCAGGCAAAATCAGCACTAGAAGGAGGACATGGATATGACTATCCTCATAATATATTCACCTCAGGCACAAGTCATGGCCAAGGGCCTTATGGGGTGGACAGTAAAAATGAGCTTATGTGTGATCAGGGTGTTGGTGGAGACTGGGGCTCCAGGCTAAGAAAGTTCAACTTAGGGAGTATATGTGGTGAGCAGGAGCTGTCCCTTTACAATTCCTTGAGTGAGTCACCAAGTCTTCACTGACCCTGTAGCCCTAGCCCTGGACTTGGTATGTGGAAGACACTGGAGAAAACAACCAACCAACCAACCAACAAACAGAATTAAGGTTAGAAGGGACCACAGAGATCATTTGACCCAATTCTCTTATATTACACGTAAGGAAACTGAGACCCAAACTGAGCTAATGCCTTACCCAAGGTTACACAGGTGGCAAGTAGCTGAGCTGTGAATTGAATCCATATCCTTTGATTTCAATCCTAGCCTTAATTCCATCATATCCTGTAAGATGATCCACTCTCTCACTGGTCCAAGCTCAGTGCCACAAGGCTGCCAAGCTGATTTTTCCTTTGCATAGAAATGGTGACATCGTGCACCTACTCAAAACTTCAGTGCTTCTTTATTGCTTCCATGATGTGACATTACCCTCTGTTTCCAGTCTTATCTCATGCTATTTCTGTCTACTTTATAGACCAGCTAAGCTGGGCCAGTCACTGTCTCCAGGATATTTCCTTAACTTTCCTTCCTCTGTGCCTATAATGATCCTGTTTCCTCTACCAGGTAGGGGGTGTCCAGGGAACAAGAACAAGAATTGGGAGCCTAAGAATCCTGGGATACTGATTAGGGTCTCTCAGAATGAGTTTGGCTACATTGCCCCTTTAGGGTTCTAGAGGTATCTCTGAGGAGAAGTGGAATGGCTTTCTCTAATGCCCTTGGCTTGAGCCTCATTCTCATTTGTTCCCTCCCTACTGTGAACCACTAGACATTAGTGCCCCAGTTCCACTGAACCATTTAGCATCAATTAGCTTTTACAAAGGGATATGTAATAATAACAGCTGGTATTTATATAGTACTTTTTGGTTTGTAAAGTGCTTTACAATTATTTAATTTGATTCTTACAACAATCTGATGAGGTAGGTGCTATTATTATCCTAGTTTTACAGATGGAGAAACTGGGGCAGACAGAGGCTAAGTGACTTGCTGAGGGTCACACAGTTAAGAGTCAGAGGTCACATTTGAATTCAGATCTTCCTATCTCTAAGTCCAACACTCTAGAGATCCATTAAACCACATAGCTGCTTCTATTCACAGAAAAGATACAGCAAGAATAGAAGTACAAAGATTTTCCCCCACACTCTCCTCTATACCGCTTTGTTTTCTGGGGAGAGTGGGAGCAAGTAGTTTCTATATAGCATTTGCCCTAACAAGTTCACTTCCGGATGTGGCCCAGCTGATAGATGGATTAGTCTTCATTTCTGCTACCACTGGATAGGGCTAAGCAGGCCATTTGGGATTTCATTCCTTGCCATCTGGCTTCTGGCAAATCTCATGGACCCCAACTCCTAGACCTCTGGTGTTTTTCCATTCTCACCTTTCAAATCTCATAAGGTCATAGTTCTCCTTTATTTAAGAGCAGGCCCCTTTTTTTCCCTCCCCCTTTGCCCTAGAGATGGCTACCATTAAACACAAATATGTAAAATCATTCTATACATACTTTTATTTATCAGTTCTTTCTCTGGATGCAGACAGTGTCTTCCTTCTGTGACCTTTGCTCTTTCTTGAATGCCAATGCTATCTCTCTCCCCTCCCCACTTCCCTCTAAGCCTCTACAAATGTTTTCCCTGTTCCTGTTCCTCTGATGGAGTCCAGGAGACTCTTCATTCCTCAGTCAGCTGTATTTTTGTTCGGATGTAGCCCGATATAGAAAGCCACCAATTAAAGCCTGCCTGTTTTCTTCTTATGTTTTCATCAAGAATGCCCTCAATGTGTGCATTGTCCATTCTCATAAAGATGTTTACCTTTTCAAAAAAAAAAGCAAACCTGTCTTCTCTTCCCCACCTCCTCCCTTAAGTGCTTTCCTAAAGCATCATTATGTTTTAGAAGTGGCCCTAGATTCTCAAAGGCTGTAACAGTAGACTACAAGCTCCGGTAGGTCCTACCAACCTGGGAAAGTTTTGATTTGTTGTTGTTATTGTTGTTGGGTCGTTTTCATTCGCATCCAACTCCTTGTGATCCTATTTGGGATTAAAAGAGACTGGAGTGTTTTGCAATTTCCTTCTCTAGCTCATTTTACAGATAAGGAAACTGAGGCAAATGGGGTGAAGTGACTTGCCCGGGGTCACACAGCTAGGAAGTGTCTGAGGTTGGATTTGAACTCAGGAAGATGAGTCGCTATCACCTAGCTGCCCAAAACCCAATTAAAGACCCTATGTTGTAGGTTGAATATTAGCTTAATGAAGTATAAGATTTATCACTAGGCAGCTCCAGACTTGAATCAGTAGCTCTAGGCTGTTTCTAGCCAATACTATTTGACTGTGTCCATGGTCGGCAAACTACATCACCTCCATAAGTTTCAGTTTTCTTTTCCATAAAATGACAATAATGATATTTGTACTACCTATCTCACAGGGTTATTGTAAGCTAAATAAATGTGAGTTATCATTATTAGGATGATTTTAATTTTTGTTGGTAAATTTTATTTTTGCTACACTTACTTCTGAATATATCCTTCCCTTCTTCTCTAACCAGAAGGCCATCTCTTGTAACAAAGATTAATAAAGAGGAAAAAAGCCGCTAAATGAAATATTCCATACCCAAAGTCCCCCAGCAATGAAGGCAGGAGGTGCATTTTCTTCAGGGTCAAACTTGCTCTTTTCATTGGGTTCAATTTCAATGTCAATTTCTGGTTGTTTTTTTTTTTTTTGTTCTTTGACTTTACATTGTTGTAGTCAACTTCATTCTGCACTCATTCATGTCTCCCTGTGATTTTCTGTATTCATGTTCATTGCTTTTTGTAGTATAGTCATATTTCATCACATGATTGTACCACGGTTTGGTTAGTCATTCCCTGATCACTATACACCTACTTTGTTTCTATTTCTTGGCTACAATTTCTGTCTTTCACCCCCTTGGGGTATATGTCTCATAGTGAGATCTCTGGGTCAAAAAAATAGTCACTTTAGAAAAAAGTATAATTATACATTGTTTTATAGAATGGGTAGACACAGCCCCACCAACAGTGTATTAGTACGCCTTTCTTTTAGCAAATCCTCCAACAACACGACTATCTTTCATCTTTGCCTTTTTGCTGGGTGCCAGGTGAAGCCTCAGAATAGTTTTGATGTGCAGTTCTCCTATGACTGGTGATTTGGGGAAGTCTTTAATATGATTGTTAATAGTTTGCAGATTTTCTTTTCAGACCTGTCATTCATATCCTTTGACCAGTTATTCATTGACAAGGGCTTTTAGTCCTGACCTTTATTGTAGATATTTGATGCAAAGATTTTTTCCCCCCAATAGATGTTTTGATTTTGTTCATTAAAAAAGTTTTCAATTTTATGTATTGAAATGCTCCATTTTATCTTTTGTGATCTGCACTATAACTTGGTTGGTTGAGAATTCTCACCCTAATCACAGCTGGGTGAGGGTACTTGATTAAAGATCTTTCTCTTATATTAAAAAAAAAATGATGAGTACCAGACTAGGAATCAGACGTGGGCATTTGCTCTGCTACTAGCTAGTTGTGTTTCCTAGGATGAGTCACTTAACCTCTGTGGGTCCTTAGTTTCCTCACCTGTATGTTGAAGGATTGGGACCAGCTAGTCTGTGACCTTTTCACCTCTAATAGTCTATGCTCGTTTTCTAAAGTTCCTTCCAGCTCTAACATTCTATGTTGTATGATCCCTTCCAGCTCTGACGTCCTATGTTCTCCTAAGGTCCTTTTCTGTTGTGGCGTTCTGTGTTCCAGATAGCTCTAGGAGCGCTCAAGATAGCACTCTTGTTCCAGAGCCCCGGGTTTGGGCTCTGATCCCCATCTCATGACCGGGACTGGCACTGCACCCCTCAGGCGGCCAATTTCCCGCGAGGCATCAGAGGAGGAGCCACAGCTGTGCGCGCTTCCCCTCCACCTGGGAGCCCCCGCTGAAGTCAAAACTTTGCGATTTCCCTCCCTCTCTCCCGCGGGGTGCCCCCAGCTCCGCCCCACTGTCCCGCCCCGCCCCGTCCCATTCAGCCTTCCTCTCCTCTCGCTGGGGTCCCAGCCCACTTCGCTCGGGGGCTTGCAGAGAACTGGACTTGGCAGCGACCACGATCTCGAAGAAAGACTGACTGAACCCAGGCTGAAGTTGAAGTTGCCGAGAGGCGTGCCAGGGCCGGACGGGGAGGCTAGAACTAGAGAAAAGGGATACGGAGAGAGAGAGAAAGGAGGGGGATTGGAGAGGAGGGCGGGCACCAGAGAATGAGAAAGAGATCTTTGGGGAGGCAGCGAAGGCGGGTCCGGGGCTCTCCTGGCTGAAAAAGAGGGAGAAAAGGAAGGAGGGAAGGGAGGAGAGAGGGAGGGAAGAAACGCGGCGGGACCCCTAACTGAGCCAGCACTCAAAGCTCCGCAAGAGTTGTTCAGGGAGCCCAGCAGTCCCGGGTAGCCTCCAGCTGTGAAGGAGGACCCTTTAGTTACATAGCTGGACCCGGACCCGAGTCTTTAAGCGGGAGGGGCCTAGATCTATTCTCTCCAGCTCGGGTCCTCAGGCTGGGGGTGCAGCCACCCTCAGCCCCCTCTGGGCACAGAAGTCCGGTAGTTTCTCCTCCTTTTCTGCAGACTTAACCTCGTGGAGAAAAGGCAAAGAAAATAATTTAGGAGTCACTCTCCCTTCCCATAAAAGGCGAGTGGGCGCCTGGAGGGTGCAGTGGTCCTGTGGACTTGTGTTCCTGGCGGCCGTGACCTTGGCCCTGTTTCAGAAGCTGAGCCGCCGCTGGTCAGGGGGCAGCATGGCGGTGTCAGCTATCACCGGCTTCTCGCTGGTCAGCCTCCTCAGCTTCGGCTACCTTTCGTGGGACTGGGTCAAGCCGGGCCACCAAGCTGATGGGCCTCGGGCCTCTGGGGACAAGCCTGCCCCATCGCCCTCGCAGTCTGCGTCCCCACCTCCGCCCCACATCATCTTCATCCTCACTGATGACCAAGGCTATCATGATGTGGGCTACCATGGATCAGACATTCAGACCCCGACGTTGGACCGACTGGCCGCAGAGGGTGTAAAGCTAGAAAACTATTACATCCAGCCCATCTGTACCCCTTCTCGAAGCCAGCTCCTCACTGGCAGGTAAGTAGTCTGACTTTCTGCACTGATCACAATGGACCTAGGGGACTAAAGGCCGGAGAAGACCCTCCTCACCAAGTATTTACTTTACCGTGGCTGGCCTTTCTATATTTGGTGGAGTATTCCCTAGTCACCTTCAGGCTCTTCTTTTAAAGTGCAAATATCCCTAGGAGGAGGCATATATTAATTCACCCACTCATCAGTGTGAATGAGTGTAGAATTATATAGATGAAATTCTGCAAAGTGTTTTATAGTGTTACCTCATCTAAGTCTCACAACAACCCTTTGAGGTAAGTTCTACAGGTCTCCTCATTTTACAGAAGTGGGAAAGTGAGCCTCAGAGATGTTAAGTGACTTGGTGGTGGTCGCACAGCTAGTAAATATCAGAGGTAGTGAGGTCCTTTCTATCATTCTTTCCTCTATATCACTCAATGGCAGAGCTGGAAGGGCCCTTAGAATATGGAGTTTCAGAGAGGGAAGGCATCTTAGAATAGAGCCTATTAGAGCTGGAAAGGACGTCTAGGTTAGTCAGCTCCCCTCGTTTGAGACTTACCGAAGTTCACACAGCTATTTAGTTGCAGAGTCAGACAGATGAAATGAAGTCATAGAATGAATCTTAGAGTTGGAGAAGATCTTGAAGGTCATCTGCTAAGACCCCCAAGCACCCAGAGTAGTAAGAGAATACTGTCTACAATATTCTGGACATATGGTCATCAAGCTTCTGTTAGAATCCTTCCAGTGGCTGGGAATGCAGTGCTTCAAAAGGCTTTCTATTCTATTCTGCCATAGCTCTTTCTTGCTTGTTTGATTGATTGATTATGGGAAGCAGAGATCCGCCTATGTGTCACTTCCACCCACTAGCCTTAGTTCTGTCTTCCGGAGTTAGAGCAAAGTTAATTCTTCATTCATATAAAAAATATTTGAAGAAAGCCCTCGAAGCCTTCTCCTCTCCAGACTAAAAACCCCGAATCGAGTTTCTTCAACCATTGCTCATATATGGCAAGGATTCCAATTCCTGGTTATCCTCCTCTGAACTTGTTCCAGTTTGTCAATGTCCTTCCTAAAATGTGGTGTCCAGAACCAGACAAAATTCTTCAGATGGAGTCTGGCTAGGGCAGAAGAGAGTAGGCCTATCTCTTCCTTTGATCTTGACACTGTGCTTCCATTCATGCTGTCTATGATCACATTAGCTTTTCTGGGCAACCATTTTATGCTGTTGACTCATATTGAACTTGTGGTCAACCAACATTCCCAAGTCTTTCTTCTGTGAGTGGCTCTTTACTTAGGACTAGTCATCTAGAACCTATGCAGTTGAATTTTTGAACCTAAGTGCAGTACTTTATATTTATTCAATTAGACTAAACTCAGTAAACATTTATTAAGAACCTACTATGTAGAAAGTGCTGGGCTAGGACATTTAAAGACAAAACGAGACCATCAACTGTTCTCAAGGAGCTTACATTTCATCTTAATAGATTTGTTCCATTGTTTTAGTCTGCATAGGTCTTTTTTGGATCTTGGTTTTTCCCTCCACCATATTGGCCACTATTCCAAGAATTGGTGCAACTGCAGATTTGATAAGCATGTCATTTCTCTCTAAGCCGTTGATAAAAGATGCTTCAGTGGCTGCTTATTTCTTCCAGAATAAAATATAAGCTCCTTGTCCTAGCACTTAAACCCCATTCACAGTCTGACTCTAGACTACATTTCCAGACTCATTTCATGTAACTATCCTTCACACATACTATGTTCCAGTCAAACTGACCTCCTTGCCGCTTCCTCTACCCAGCATTCCATCTCCCATTTCCAAATCTTTGCATGATCTGAAATACATTTTCTCCTCACTGCTGCCTCTTAGAATTCCTTGTTTCTTTCATGTTTCAGTTCAAGTGCCACCTTGTCAATGAGGCCTTCTCTGATTACTCTAGTAATTTACTGGACACATTTTAGGTTTACTTGCTTGTGCTCATGGCATTTCCCCTCTTCCTAGTAGAATATTAGCTCCTTGAGGGCAAGCACTAGTTTGGGGCTTACTTTTTATACCCAGTATCTAGCACAGTGCCTGGCTCATACTAGGCTCTAAATGAATACTTATTTAATGAATGAAGGATGGATGAATAATGTTGAATAGAACTAGATTAAGTAAAGATCCCTGGGACCATGACCAAAGGCCACACCAAGGTGAAACAGATCAACTTTCTTCAATTCTGGTCCCCTAGTCGGCTATTAACGGACCTGATTCAAGAATTAATAATCCCTTAAGGGAAAACAGCCATTTTGGCGGTAATAGTCAGGATACATTTTTTTGGAAGGGCTCCATTATATGTTAGGAATACCTCCTAACATTTGTTTGTCTCTCTCTCTCTCTTCATCTTTGTCTTCCTTCTTCCTTCTTTCTCTTCTCTCCTCCTTACCTTCCTCCTTTCTTTCCTTCCTTCCTTCCTTCAGTGGTGTAATTTCTCTGTTAAATCATATAAAAACAATGGAGAGAGAAAAGGGATAGCCAAGGGGATTGAGCCCTTTCCAGCCCAATGTTGTCAAGTCAATTGACAAGTGTTTATTAAGTACCCCCTGTACTATATGCCAGGCACTCTGCTAAGTGTTGATGATGCAAAGAAAATTAAGAACAGAAGGCAGAAGGGAATCTGAAGGTGAGATGAAAAGATTTTGAGAAATAAGTAGATCTGGATTTAGGAGGTCAGCTGGAGGTGGGGATGAGGGGAAGACTCTCTGATGATTGGGGAGAGGAGTGATCCACTGGGAGTTCAGGGGTGGTAGAAGAAGAGGAAAAGTCAGGCAGTGGGGTGGATGGCTAAGGGTAGCAGTGTTTGGAGAGGGGTGTTGAGGAGACCAGAATAGGGGGGACAGCTTAGGGGAGAGAATGGAATCAGAGAGGTTGAGGAAGGGTGCTGTCATTTATTTCTCCCTACCCCACCTCCAGACCTCACTGAGGCTTCCTTAGCTTGAATACAATTCAAATCAATCCCTGTTTTCTGTTCTCTGTCTCTTGGAAACTGCTTCATCTTATCCCCAGCTGCTCTGGTTCCCTTTGTTATCCTCCTTGCTCTCAGGATCCCTTCAGTCTCCTCCTTTTCTTCCTCTTCTTCCTCCTCCTCTTCCTTTATCACCACCTCCTCTACCACTTCTTTGTTTTTGTCTTTCCCCTCATTTTATTTCTTCTCTCCCAGGCCCTTGGGGCTGAACTTGACTGCATTTCATACAGAGACATACAGACCCGGGTACACCCAAGGCTTTGAAAGAAACAGGATTTCATCCACGGGAGTACTTCCTCCCCTGCCTAAGATTAAACTCCCTCTGTGCCTTAGTAGATTCGCTATGGCTAAACAATTCCTGATTCTCTGGTGGTGAGTCTCTCCACTCTTATCTAGGCTGGTTCCAGGACAGGCACACCCAGCAGTGGTCTATTGCCAGGCATGTACAGATAACCTTTCCAGTAGGACTTGAACTAGCTTGTGTTTTGCTAATACAGCCTTTGATAGCCCATGCTCACTTCTATGCCTTGAGGAAACATCAGAGTAGAACTTTAGTCCATGTAACATAACCTAACAAAACATAACATAACTATCATATATTTAACTATTTTGTATATATTTGCATTAATTTATTTTATATCTGTACTGTATTTGTATATGTACTTGTCTTCTACATTAAAATGTAAACTTATTGTGAATAAGGATCATTATATTCTTTGTACTTGTACCCAGAGTTTTAGCACAATACATCTAGTGCATCTAGTAGGCACTTAATACATACTTGTTGATTGACGTAACACAACGCAGCATAATGCAACACAACACAATGTGACATAACATAACATAACATATAATTGAGAGGCATGGTCAATAGAGGGCTGACTTTGGAGTTAGGAAGAACTGGGTTCAAATCCTGCTACATACTGTCTATGTGACCATTTATTCTCTTAGTGTCTCTAGACAACCCACTAAGACCATACATTACAGGTGAATTGCCATTTTGTAACAGTTGAGGGGGTTTCTACACTGGGAATTCCCTAAATGGATGAAATAAGGAAAGGCTTGACCAAAAAATTCTAAAACAAAGCAATATTACAATAGGGGCAATATGGTATAGGATGGAGGGCTGGGAGTGATTTTGTAAGACCTTAGCTCCTACAGTGATTCTGATATTTCTGGGTATGTGAACCTGGGCAAGTCTTTTAAGCTTGGTGAGCCTTAGGCAACTTATTTACTAACTCATAAGGATGATAGTTTTAGAGCTGGAAGGGACCTAGAATGGGTAATCTAATCCAACTTCCTCATTTTACAGGTCAGGAAACTGAGGCTCCAGAAAGATAGAGAGAATGTGACTTGACTAAGGTCATACAGGGAGTAAGTAGCAGAAACAGATCTAAACCCAGGTCCTGTGACCCCGGAAGTAAGGCTCTTTCTGTTGCACCATGTGGAAGGCACTCCACCAATAAAAGTTCCCTGCACTCAGAAAATCACAGCTCCTTCATGGTGCATAATACAGAAGAGAGAGTTGACCACTAGGGACTGATTTTTTTTTTGCCAGAGTTATCTCTAATGTGCAGTTTTGATCATCACGTCAACTCCTTGCTGAGACACCCTCAGGGTGCCCTGCTGCTACCAGGATAAAACCCCAAACTCCTGTCTCTGGCTATAGGAGGTCTACATTTCCAGCCCTATATCTTCCTCCCCACAAACTCAGTGCCCTGGCCAAACTGGGTTACTATCCATCCTCACACATCAATTACTCATAATGCTGCTCACACCTGTCTCCCTCTCTCTCTCTCTCTCTCTCTCTCTCTCTCTCTCTCTCTCTCTCTCTCTCTCTCTCTCTCTCCCTCTCTCCTTCTTCCCACTATCTCTGTCTTAATCCTACCTGACTTCCTTTTTGGTTTTGACCTAAAAATGCAAACTTATTTGAGCAATCTGGAAGGAGATACAGGATTCTTTTTTTAAAATTTTATTTTATTTTCAATTTATGGAATAAAACAGGCATTTCCAAATAATACAATAAGAAAGATGATTGCACATGAAACTGCACATCTACTATGTACAATTTGCTATTCCTTTCAATTATACAGCACAATTATCATGTAAATTTTTTCCTTTTTTTCTTCCCTCTTCCTCCCTTCCCCCCCAGAGATGGCTACCATTAGACATAGTTATATATATTTAAAATTATTCTATACATATCTCTATTTATCATTTCTTTCTCTAGATGTAGATAGTATCTTCCTTCATATGTCTTTTATAGTTAATTTGGTTATTTATAGCAGTCAAAATAACATATTTGCTCAAAGTCATTCTTGGGTGTTTTTTTTGGGGGGACCTTTTGTTGAGCCAATTGGGGTTAAGTGACTTGCCCAGGGTCACATAGCTAGTGTCCTGTGTCTGAGGTCACATTTGAACTCGGGTCCTCCTGATTCAAAGGCTGGAGCTTTATCCACTGCACCACCTAGCTGCCCCTCAAAGTCATTCTTAAAACAATATTGCTGTTACTGTATACGACATTCTCTTGGTTCTGCTCATTTCACTCTTCATTATTTCATGCGAGTCTTTCCATGTCTTTCTAAAATCATTGATCTTATCATTTCTTATTTCTACCTGACTTTCAATGTTCAAATGATATATCCCATCTTCTATGAAGCCTTCCTTCATCCTTTCCCCACTCTCCCACTCCTCTGCCATCTAAGCCAGTAGTGATTTCCTCTTCCTGGGGTCTCACATCATATTTTGTTTCAGTATCTTGTGTGTTCTTGTCCTACTTCACATTAGAATCAAAGCTTCCTTCAAAGCCTCATTGTGTGTACAGGTGACGGTAGGTTCTCTAAGACTGTCCTACTGGATGACAAATGATAGCAGGTCCTGCTGTGCCGGAAAGTCTTTCAGGATGGGCCAGGTAACAAATGCTATATTTATCCTCTGAGACCCAGTCTGGCTAAGTTCAGAGAGGCTCATTATCAGGTTGGCTGTAGGTGATCAATCCCCACTGATAGAATTGTGGATAATTGATGCATAAGTATTATAGTTATTACATCTTATTTTTTCTACTTGACTGCAGAGGGTAGAAGGGACACTGACTTATTATCTTTGAATCTACTATAGCACTTAACATGAGGCCTTGGATATAGTCGGTATTTTAAAAAATATATTGATATTTACTTTTTAATATCACTTTCATTTCCAAATGTATTCCTCACCCTTGCCCTCCATAGTGTCATCCTTTATTACAAAGAATAAAAAAGAAGAGAAAAGAAGCAATCCAGAAAAACCAATGCACTTATCAACTGTATTTAATAACATATGCCATATTCTACACCCATAACCCCCCACCTTTGCAAAGATGGGAGGGAGGTGAGATAGTAGCTACTTAGTAAGTGTTTGTTGAGTGCATAAGAGGACTTAGCCTAAATTGGAACTTACTAGAATGGGTAACATCACAGTTTGCCAAGGCCTTCCTCTAGGTGATGAGGTCCCTGGGTAGAGAAGGTCCAAGATATCAGGTTACCTCTCGCTCTCCCACAGAGCAGAGGGCCAGTAGATCAGCACTCCTTCCTCCATCCTTCTTCCTGCCTTCAGATTTGGAAAGACTTTAGAATAGACGATGCTGAAGCTGAAATAGACCTTATAACATAGAATGTTAAAACTGGAAAGGACTTTAGAACATAAAAAGCTGGAGCCAGAATGGGCCTTAGGACACAGAATTTAGAATATCAGAGTTGGAAGGAATCTTTATAATATGGAAAATCAGAGCTCGAAAGGACCTTAAAACATGAAATGTCAGAACTAAAAAGGTCTTTGGAACACAGAATGTCAGAACTGGAAGACAACTTAGGGAACCCCCCTCAGTTTATTAATGGGGAATGTATCTAGTCAAATCTCCTTAATTCTGTTGTTCAGTTGTTTTGGTGACATATGACTGTCATGCATATATGTCATGTATGACTCTTCATGACCCCATTTGGGGTTTTCTTGGCAAAGACACTGGAGCGGTTTTCTATTTCCTTCTCCAGCTCATTTTACAGATGAGGAAACTGAGGTAAACAGGGTTAAGTAACTTGCCCAGGGTCATATAGCTAATAAGTGTCTGAGGCTGGATTGTAAACCCAGGTCCTCTTGACTCCAGGCCTGGCACTCTATCCACGGGGCCATCTAGCTGTCCACTCTGCCCCTCACTCCCCCCCCCCACCCCAGTTTACTAATGGGGAATTTATCTAGGTAAGCCACCTCATTTTACAGATGGACCAGAGTGAGAAAAGGGCTCGCAGCCAGCTAGTGTCATACTAAGATTAGATCCCAGCTTTCCTGACTGCTAGTTTAGGGGTCTTTTCACTGTACCAGACTTTCCTTCTTTTTTTATTTAGGGAAGGACATTTTTGGAATGTAAGCATCTTGAAAACAGATTATCTTGCTTTTCCATTTGTGTTCCCAGCTAAATTAAGCATGTAGTATATGCTTAATGATGACGATAATGATAATGATGATAATTGTTAGTATTTGTATAGCATTTTAAAGTTTGCAAAGTGCTTTACAAATATTATCTCATTTTGTCCTCACAACAACCCTTGGATGTAGGGGCTATCATTATCCCTGTTTTACATATGAGAAAACTGAGATAGATAGAGGATAAATGACTCAGCCAGGGTCATGCAGGTAGTAAGTGTCGGAGAACAGATTTGAACCCAGGTCTTCTTGATTCTAGGTCTGGCATTCTATTGACTGCACATTGGTTGTTCAGTCATTTCAGACATGTCTGACCCTTTGTGACCCCATTTGGGGTTTTCTTGGCAAAGATACTGGAATGGTTTGCCGTTGCCTTCCCTAGTGGATCCATGTTGCCAGGCATTCAGAGGTGAAGAGACTTGCCCAGGGTCATATAGCTAGGAAGTGTCTAAGGCTGGATTTCAACTCAGGTCTTCCTGACTCCAGGCCTAGTGCTCTATCCATTGAGCCACTGGTTGCCTCCTACCTACACATTAAGCCTTTATAAATGCTTAATAAATGCTCATTCATTCATTTATTCATTTCATCTTTAGGTCCGAGGTGAGCAAAGGGAAGTCAGATTCATGCTAATGTATTTGTGTTGCACTTTTCTCCCCTCCTAACTTCATTCTGCCAACCAGGTACCAGATCCACACAGGACTCCAGCACTCCATCATCCGTCCTCGTCAGCCCAGCTGCCTGCCTCTCGACCAGGTGACACTGCCACAAAAGCTGCAGGAAGCGGGTTACTCAACTCACATGGTGGGCAAATGGCATTTGGGCTTCTATAAGAAGGCGTGTCTGCCCACGCGACGTGGCTTCGATACCTTCCTGGGCTCATTGACGGGCAACGTGGACTACTACACGTATGACAACTGCGATGGGCCTGGTGTGTGCGGCTACGACCTTCACGAGGGTGAGAGTGTGGCATGGGAGCAGAGCGGCCAGTACTCTACCCTGCTGTATGCCCAGCGTGCCAGCCAGATCTTGGCCAGCCACAGTCCCCGCCAGCCCCTCTTCCTCTATGTAGCCTTTCAGGCTGTGCACACACCGCTGCAGTCTCCCCGTGAGTATCTGTACCGCTACCGTACCATGGGCAATGTGGCTCGGCGCAAATATGCCGCCATGGTGACCTGTATGGATGAGGCTGTGCGCAATATCACATGGGCCCTGAAGCGTTATGGCTACTATGACAACAGCATCATTATCTTCTCCACTGATAATGGTGGCCAGACCTTTTCTGGAGGAAGCAACTGGCCCCTTAGGGGCCGCAAAGGCACCTATTGGGAGGGCGGCGTGCGTGGCATCGGCTTTGTTCACAGCCCCCTGCTCAAGAGGAAGAGGAGGACGAGCCGGGCACTGGTACACATCACGGACTGGTACCCTACCCTGGTGACTCTGGCTGGGGGCAGCGTGTCTGAGGCGGAGGGGCTGGATGGCTACAATGTGTGGCCGGCCATTAGCGAGGGGCAGGCTTCACCTCGCGTGGAGATCCTGCACAACATTGACCCTCTCTACAACCATGCCAAGCATGGATCCCTTGAGGGTGGCTTTGGCATTTGGAATACCGCTGTGCAAGCTTCTATTCGAGTCGGTGAATGGAAGCTGCTGACAGGGGATCCTGGCTACAGTGACTGGATCCCCCCACAAACTCTGGCCAACTTCCCTGGCAGTTGGTGGAACCTGGAGCGGTTGGCAGATGGCACCCGCCAGTCTGTGTGGCTCTTTAACATCAGCGCTGACCCCTATGAACGCGAGGACCTGGCGGCCCAAAGGCCCGATGTGGTCCGTTCCTTGTTGGCTCGGCTGGCGTATTACAACCGGACAGCCATCCCTGTGCGCTACCCTGCTGAGAATCCTCGGGCCCACCCTGACTTCAATGGGGGTGCCTGGGGCCCGTGGGTTAGTGAGGAAGAGGAGGAAGGGGAAGAGGAAGAGGAAGAGGCTGGGGAAGGGAGGGGCCGGGGTTCTCCCCGGGGCAGAAATAAGTGCAAAATTTGTAAACTTCGCTCTTTCTTCCGCAAGCTCAACACCAGGCTGATGTCCAACCGCATTTGACTGGGGGGTAGGCTGGGGGTGGGGTTCTCTAATTCCAACTTTTCCTCCGGGGCTCCTTCTGGCTGGCACCCATTCATGGCTGGGAAACCCTTAGAGAAGAGACTGCTGGTTACCTAAGCACCTGTTTTCTCTTAGAGGAAGATGGGAGCTAGCTCAGCTGGTTGGGCTGGGAGAGGGTATGCCCTGAAAGTGAACTGGGGATAGTCCAGGAATGGGAATATCCCTTAGGCTCAGCGCTGGGGCAACAGACACAACCTGATCAGTGGTGATACTTCTTAATTCCATAACAATCCTCCTGAAGCTCAGCAGCAGAGATGGAGGGGTGGGAAGGTGGGTTCAGGACCAGACCTTACAGCTTTAGCTGATGGGAGCAAGGTTGGTACTAAGAGAGGGTATGGAGGAGTAGAGAAAGGATGGGGAAAATAGTCATGATTAGGTAGGTGAGTACCCATTGGGCCTGCTACAGAGGTCTCGTGCATGGGGAGGGAAGTTGGCCTATGAAATCCCCACCACGTCTAAGAAGCTATGATTCTAGGATTTGGGAGCTTCCTCCATCCAGCTAGCCTCTGGCGAAGGGGGTGCTGGTGGTGGTAATGGTAGTGAGTGGTCGCCAGTGACTCTCTGGCATGTGCAAACATGCAAGGCAGTAAACATTAAGCACCTACTGTGTGCCAGGCACTGGGCTAAGCAAATGATTACAAACACACATAAACATTTATACAGGTTAGGTCATTGTGCAAATGGGTATAAATATGTACATGTGTAGTCATTGATAAGTCATTGATACACACCTACGTGTCCATCTGTCCAGTGTATGCCCTGGGATTGGGTGGGGGAAGGGAAGTTGGGAGTGGATTGTGGATGTATGTATATACATGTGTGTATGCACACGTGTATGTGCACACTGAGGGGCAGGCACGAGGGCTGTGGGGGTTAAAAGCCTCTAATGTACAGTGCGTTTTCATTCTGCACAGCCTGTTCCGTGTTTCTCCCTCTAGGTTCCAGTCGGTGCTGCATGTGTAGGCGATGGCTCTGCTGTGAATTTTGAAAATAGTTATTTTTGTCTCTGGCAAATGAGGCCTGTTAGGACTTGTCAGCTCAGGGATGAGCTGCAGGGGGTGGGGGGGAGGGGTTCTGCTGTCACAAAATCACATTCGTTTGAAACCGGCCACTGAAGGATTTGACACAGCCTGGGGGCCGGTGGCCAAAGGGAATAGACTGAGGGCAGCAGGAAGAGGCCTAAGGAGGATGGCAAGAGAGCAAGAGGGGCCCCTCCTCTTCCCTCCAGTTCCATCTCGCTTCACCTTAAAGTGAAGCATTAGATTGGTTTTGCCCCAGGGCTGGTAGGAAGAGGTCTGGTTGGGAAGGCTGGAGGATCAGTATCTAAAGATTGCTTCTTTATAGGGGTTGCCATGGGTCCTGGCATAGATGATTGTCCAGCCATGGCACCGTGGGTACAGTCACTGCAGGTGGGAAGGCTCTCCTTTCCCTACTCTCCTCATCAAGGGGTGAGGGGACTGAGGAGGGGCACCATGATGATGAGACCCTGAGAGTGGCTGCTGTGGGCTGTTGTGCCACATGACGATGAGAGGATGAAGGTTGGTGATTGCTCTGGGGAGTCAGGGCTTCTCCTGAAATGATGGGTCTGATCTGGACCAGCCCCATGGAGAGCCCTAATTGCTCTGTACCACTCTGGCTAACCTGTCTTTTGCCTGAGGCCTCACCGGTTTATTCCGAACTTGCTAATGTGCCTTGGAGGGACACAGGCCCAATAAAGTATGGATGGCCAACACTATTCTGCTGCTCTTGAAGTTTGCTCATTGTCTGGGGCCCTCCCTTTTTCTCTCTTTAATGATGTACCTCTCCCTGCCCTCAGAAAGAGTGGCAGCAATATTTTCCCAATGGCCACTGTTACCTACCTCTTATCCTATGGAAAAAGACAGTCAAAATCCATCCACACACAAGTCACTGAATTGTCCAGGGGATGCAGACACAGTGAAAAAAAAGTCCATGCCTTGTCTCTCAAGGATCTTACATTTGACTGGACAGCTTGAAGGTATCTTGAGATGAGGGAACCATTTCTCTTTCCTTTCTTTCCTCCACTCCCACCCTTAAACCATGTGAGTAAGAGGCAGTATTACACAGTGGAGCAGATCTCTAGCATGGGGAGTCAGGAGATCTGGGATCTATTCCCTGCCCTGCCCCTGACTCCCGGTGACCTTGGGCACATTGCTCCCCATTCTAGGACTTCTTTCCTCATCTGTAAAATGGAGGAGTTGGAATAGAAATGCTTTGACTTTCCACCTAGCTTTGACTTTCTTAGCTGCAAGTTCCCCCAGGACACAAACCTGGCTTTGACCTTAGAGGTGAGTGACCCTTGAGTCAGTTCCCTCAGAGGAAGCAGATCTACTTGGGCATAGTGGATAGCATACTGGACTCAGAGTCAAGAACCAAATTCAAATCCTACCTCCAACACTTAGCTATGTGACTATAGGTGAGTCATTCATATTCGCCAAGGCACAGTTTCCTTCTTTGTAAAATGAGATGAAAATACCTGTAGTACCTACCTCACGGGATCGTTGTGAGGCTCAAATGAAATGTCTGCAAAACTTAAATAAATGTCAGTTCTTGTTATCATTCCCTCAGCTGCTCCCTGTCCCCAGGGCAGGATAGACAGCCCTTTGGTTCAATGGGTTTCCTGCCCATCCTGGCATCTGCCCCCCGGGGTGGCCAGACCCGAAGGATGCAGAGAGGTTGCTTCCTGGCTGTCTTGTGGCTGGTGTTGGCCACTGGGTGGCAGCGAGTCCTTGAGACCAGTTCTCCGGCTGTGAGCGAGCATAGAGGGCAAAGGGATGACCACATTCTCAGCTGGGCGCTTGACCTCCAACCTATTTTCCCACTAACCACAAGTTAGGTGCCTGCAAGAACAATGTAGGGAGATGCAGCCTCAGAGCAACCAAAGGGGGCTTTGCTTCCTGTGAGCTCCTTGAGGACGGGGATTGTCTTTTGCCTCTTTTTGTGCCCAGCACGTAGCACAGTGCCTGGCACGTAGCAGGTGCTTAATATTTGCTGCATTGACTGACTGCTTCTCTGCCTCCCTCCCTCAGCCTCAATAGGTACCTTCCCCGCCATGGTGGAAGCAGAGCCAGCAGGACTTGATGGTGCATGTGGAGAAAAGTGCCAAGAGACAAGGGAAGCAGGGAGAGGAAAGGAGGTGGAGAGATGAGAGGTGGGGTGAGAAGAAGGGATGACTTAGTTCCTGCTTCCTAGGCTATGTTCTCTGCCTCCCTTCCCCCTAATCAGGGCATTGGGGTTTGCACTCTGTGAGCTTGGAGAAACTGTCCTTTGAGTGGGGAAAATAGAATTGGCCTGAGCCCCAGGTCCGTCAGTACTTTGACCTGGCTTCCAGAGGACAGAGCCCCCTGGGCTCAGGATAGTGGACCCCCTGACGCTTGTTCTGGAGAGTCATTCCCCTTGGGCCCTGGCCCTCCTCAGTCCTGCATGTCTGCTTGCTTCCCTGGCGTAGGGCAGTCAAGGAGTCTGACCAATGCAGGGGCAGCTATCTGGCTACATGATAGCCCCTCTGTGGGGCCACCTAGTTGAGTTGCTGTCTTCTGGCTTCTCCCATTTTCTTTCACATCCTTCATCCCCCCCTCCCCACTCCTGCCCTAAAAAGCCAATATAGTACAGTGGAAAGCATGCTGGATTTAAATTTTTGCCCCTATATGTCACCAATATGACTTTGGGTAAGTCATTTTACATCTAGCGGCCTAAGATTCCGCATGTAAAATGAGGGAACTGGATGGATGACCTTGGAATTCTCTTCTATCTCTAGATCTAGAATCGTTTCCTCTTTGAAGAAATGTTGGGAAAGAGCAAATGTCCCTTTTTGTTTTGAAGGAAGAGAGTAGAAGATACATACCATAGGTCAATGTGATTGCTTTTGAGTCATGTAAAAATTCTAGAACATATTTCTTTTGTTTAGATTTTTTATTGGTATTTTTTTTTCATTAGCTTAATTTCAAATATATCCATCTTCTGAGAGGCAGCTAAGTGGTGCAGTAGATACAGCTAGTCTGGAGTCAGGAAGCCCTGAGTCCAAATTTGACCTTAGATACTTACTAGCTATGTGACCCTGGGCAAATCATGTAATCTTTCTGCCTCAATTTCCTCAACTGAAATATGGGGATAATAGCACCTTCCTCCCAGGATTGTTGTGAGGGTCAAATGAGATAATATTTGTAAAGTGCTTAGCACAGTGCCTTGCACACAGTAGGTACTTAATATGCTTTTGTTTTTTTCCTTCTGTCTCTTACTCAAAGAGCTATTGCTTGTAACCAAAAATAAGGAAAGGGGAAAAACAGTTCAGCAAAATTAATCAGCAGAACAACTGACCCCAGATGCTGTATTCCACACTCCTTGTCCCTCATCCCTACAAAGAAGGGAGGGAGCTGTATTTTTTCCTCTCCCTTTCAGAGTCAAGCTTGGTCATTATAATTATACAGTGTTCAAGATTTTATTTTATTTACATTGTTGTTTTTTTTCTTCTATTTACACTGTTAGAACATACTGGCCAAAGTATAGCAAACACATAGAAAGAGAAGTAGCCATCACAAAGCTAGCATGACATCATCTAGAATATGTCATGTCAGACTAACCTGATTTCCTTTTTTTTTTTTTTTCGGAAAGGCTTACTAGATCAAAGGAATGCTGTACATATAGTTTACCTAGATTTGAGCAAATCATATGACGAAATCTCTCCTGTTACTTTTGTGGATGAGATGGAGATATGTAGGCTATATAAAATATGTTTAGGAACTGAGTAAGTGGCTGATTGCAAAAGGTAATTAGCTCTGTGTCAGCTTGGAAGGAGGTACTTAATGGAGGGTGTGAGGGATCTCTCTGTGGCCCTGTGTTATTTAATATTTTGTCAGTTATTTGAATAAAAGCATGAAAGTGATTATCAAATGTGTAGATGACACCAAGTTCAGAGTGATAGCTAGCATACAGGTCAGAATTAGGATCCAAAAGGATCTTGAAAGATTAGAATGTTGGGCTAAATCTAATAAAATGAAATTGAATTAGGAAATACATACATCTTGCAATTGGTTCAACAAGTTCGCTTCCCATGTATAGCACAGGAAAGGCATGGCTAGATAGCAGTTAATATGAAAAAGATGTTTTTAATATTGGGGGGGAGGTTTTAATTAAGAGTGTAACAGGGCAGTCAAAAATGATAATACAATCTTAGGCTACATCGTAAGAGTCATAATGTCCAGAATGAGAGATGTTCTCCTTTGCTTTTGTCAGACTATGGTTGGAATACTCTAGGTGACACATTTTTTTTCTTTTTAATTTTATTAATTTATTTTGATTTATTAATAATCACTTCCATATGCTTTTGAGTTTAACATTTTTCTCCCCTTTCTTCTCCACCACCCTCCCCAAGACGGCGCACAATCTGATATAGGCTATACATTTACATTCCTATTAAACATATTTTCTTTTTTTTCTTTTTTCTTTTCTTTTTTCCATATGCTTTTGAGTTGAAAATTTTTCTCCCTTCCTCCCCCCACCTCCCCAAGACGTGCACAATATGATATAGGCTTTACATTTACATACCCATTAAACATATTTTCACATTAGTGAAGTTGTAAGTAAAAATTAAAAACAATACGAGGAACCATCAGAAAGATGAAGCAAAACTCAACAGAAAGTAAAAATAAGTGATAGCGATTCGACTTCCATAGTTCTTTCTTTGGATGTGGACAGCATTTTCCATCCGAGGCCTCTGGAGATGTCTTAGATCCTCATAATGCTGAGAAAGGTTCAGTTTAACAATCTTAGTCATTGCATAACATGGCTGTTATTGTGTACAAAGTCCTCTTGGTTCTACTCACTTCACTCAGCATCAGATCATATAAGTCTTTCCAGGTTTTTCTGAAGTCAGCCTGTTCATCATTTCTTATAGCACAATAGTATTCCATTACATTCATATACCACAACTTGCTCAGCCATTCCCCAATTGATGGGCATCCTCTCAATTTCCAATTCTTTGCCACCACAAAAAGAGCTGCTATGAATATTTTTGTACATGTGGGTCCTTTTCCCATTTGTTTGATCTCTTTGGGATATAGCCCTAGAAGTGCTATTGCTGGATCAAAGGGTATGCACATTTTTGTAGCCCTTTGGGCATAGTTCCAAATTGTTCTCCAAAATGGTTGGATCATTTCACAACTCCACCAACAATGTATTAGTGTTCCAATTTTCCCACATCTCTCCAACATTTATCATTTTCCTGTTTTGTCATGTTGGCCAATCTGATAGGTGTGATGTGGTACCTCAGAGTTGTTTTGATTTGCATTTCTCTAATCAATAATGATTTAGAGCATTTTTTCATATGACTATAGATGGCTTTAATTTCTTCATCTGAGAACTGTCTGTTCATATCCTTTGACCATTTATCAATTGGGGAATGGCTTGTGTTCTTATAAATTTGTCTTAATTCTCTATATATTTTAGAAATGAGGCCTTTATCAGAGAGACTGGTTGTAAAAATTCTTTCCCAATTTTCTACCTTCCTTCTAATCTTAGTTGCATTGGCTTTGTTTGTGCAAAAACTTTTCAATTTAATGTAATCAAAATTATCCATTTTGCTTTTCATAATGTTCTCTATCTCCTGTTTGGTCATGAATTCTTCTGTTCTCCATAGATCTGATAGGTAAACTATTCCTTGTTCTCCCAGTTTACTTATGGTATCAGCCTTTATATCTAAGTCTGAACCCATTTTGACTT